ATAGAAATCAGCGAATACAATGTCTGTCAGGTAGAATTCATGTGATTAGTACAATAGCACAATTATTATGTATCAAGGTAGAAATTATCTCCAGGTGGAGAACACCGCACAAGTAAAAGCAAAGAAAAACGAAAGAAAAAAATCGAAAACTGGGAGACCCTGGAACAAAGCTCAGATGCGCTGCGCTGCTTCCGGTCTTGGACGCAGCATCCACTGTGAGCGACCAAACCACTTGCGCGATAAAATCGTGAAGTATTAAGCTTCATAACACTATACGCGTAGAAAGCAGTGAGTAGCCTAGATCTGTAAGGCCCGGCCCTACCACTCAAGCTATGGTCGCTTCCAGTGTGCAGTTTACCATTGCGAATCTGGAGCAAGCGAACCGTGAAAATGCGCGTGTGTACGCAACGTAGTGCGCGCAAATTCCTTGAGCGTGTTCTCACATTCGCAGAGTATGTATGTGGCTCAAGGAGCGTCCCTAACCATACATGTTACTATGGATCACCAACTGTGCTCACTCACTGTCTTTGCAAATTGCCCTGCAGTGATTCACCTTTACCAGTAGATAAATGCAAGGTAAAGAATAGTTGCCTACTCCACGGTATTTACGTTTTGATGATATTCACAAGAACATATTGCAAGAATTTATTGAACATTACCTAAGATTCTACAGCATTCTATGAAACAAATATAGACAACCTCATTAGAGAAGAGTAATAGGTACAAGGTTTCTGAAACAAAACAATAACAATCTAGAAAACAAACAGTCTGAGGCACAGTGACAAAAAAATCTACTTAAAGCTTCTGTCGCGGTCTAGTTCCAGATTTTCCCAACTCAGGATTTCCTAACAACTTGTTAAACCGCATGATAAGGTCCATTGCAGGCATATTGTCAGTTTTGAAAAGAAGCTTTTTTCCATTGTCTGAAAACGTGAGTCAAAAAGAGACCTTGTGAAACTTCCAACGTGGTGCAGATGAAGAGATACTGCTAAAGTAGACCCAGTGGTTAAATTAGCTAGGCTACATTCATCATTTCGTCGGCGTTACGAGCATCTCAAGGGTTATGATTGTTCTGAGCGAAAGTACGAGTATCGATAGCGCTTTGAGGGAAACGCCGTCGTTCCGAGCGTTCCGAGCGTCTCGGGCTCCTGAGCGTTTCAAAAGTTTCGAGCTTTCGGCCGAAAGTGAAGTGCGATCTGCTTTCAAAATGCTCAAAAGGCTGACGCTTTTCTGAAACGCTATCGATAAATCGTTCAACAGCAGTTATCATAACAAAACAGCTTCAAAAACATCTAAAGCCTTAGGCCTCGCGGTTTCATGCCGATATCCCACCCCTATCCCTCGATACGGCTGACCGGCTCACCAAAGTTAAACGTGTGAGTGCTGATAGGCTACGGCATAAAAGCCGTTAAGCTGAGAGGGTAAAAGCGGCCCTGGTGGCGTAACGGATAGCGCACTCGCCCGGAAAGCGTGAGGTGCGGGTTCGACTCCCGCCTGGGACACGACTTTTGCCCACAACTCAGCATTCTTGTGATAGCTATCGATACTGATACATTCTTTGACGCTCAAAACGCTCGGAACGCTTAAAATGCTAGATCGATTCCATACTTTCCTTTTCACCAAAACTTGCACCAAAACGCTCTAGAGGCTCAAACACTGGCGTTCCTCCCAGACGACTAGCTTGTATACTATACTTCTAACGCCTTAAGAGAAAAGGATGCGCAGCCTTACTGGATACAAAATAGGTTGACAAAATAATGGAAAATCTGTAATCACATTCTGGCTATTACCGATCATGCAGCAAACTCTGTTTATCCAATACTGCTCAAATGAAACGTACCTAATGTAGCAATGAAGAATGGAGGTTGTCGATCGTTGCGCACTTCAGCTGACACCTTGGAGCAGTTGGGTTCGTTAACGCGTGAACCTTTGACTCAATTATGCCATTCGCACAGAATTTCCATGAGGAAAGAAAAAACGTCAGGGAATTACCGCATAAGGTAAAAAAACTGCCCCAAACCCTGCAAAGTAAACCACAGTACGCATATCCTAAAGGGAAGAACACCGAGATCGACGCCGTTCCGCGGATGTACGGTACAGCAGAATGGATCCAGCGAAATATCGACTGACTTCACTGACTTCATATCGAGCGCACGAGCTGCCAAAGCAAGCCGCTCGGCCGGTTTCCATCTCACTCCATATCGAATGCGTTGCCACATTTGACACATCTGTCAACGTCGAATAGATGAGTTGAAAAAAATTAGTTGCTAACGTATTGGGATGGAACACTTGCCAGAACCTCCATTCTTCCTCTCGTCAAGTCATCGGATTAGTGAAAACTATGTCTTATCTGCAGGACTACCTCTCGACAAACTCTAGTCGTCTGCTCTCTGAGCCTAACCTTTTCGGAGAAGAGGTACAAAGGCATTGTCAAGCGATCAACCCCTATGCTAGCACCTAAAAATTTTGTAATTCATGATGTAGGGAGGGAACGAACCACCTTTTCACACAAACCTTGCTAGCAAAATTTTTATAGCAAAGACAATCATACAGCTTGCAAAGCTAACAGTTATGCAAGTAGTCGAAAGCGCGTAAAATCTCCTGATTCAAGATAATAACAACTATTTCCATACAAACGTAACTAGAACAGCATAACAAAATATTCTAACAAAGTAGCCATTGAAAACATTAATGAGCAGGTCGCCATTCTGAAGCTAATCGACAGATGAAGTCCACATTGGCGTGCATCTGATCCACCGTTTCAGATTGTAGTTCATGGATAATCTCTTCCTTATAAGAATCGCGTGCCTCTTCGAGCAGGGAACCGAAGATTTCGCATTCAATGTTCTCTTTGATCTGAAAAAAGCGTTGCTGGAACTGATAACGAAATAATCTCTGGAGACAAACCCCCAAACTGTGTATTGTGGATGAAGCTGCTCAACTATAAACCTACTGTCGCTAAACGACTCTCCAGGATGAAAAAAAGAAAATCATGGACCACATCCCAAGTAATGATCTGGCAG